ATTCGAAATTGGATATGATGATTTGTGTAGTATCATATTTTGAACAGCAAATAACTTCACGATCTCGTAAACGGCACAAAGCAGACTGCACGAGGCCGCTTTTGATCGGAACGGCCTCAAATTGGGCGCCATGGTCCTGTGGCTTCTTTTTGTGCGCACGAGACCTAGCATAAATCATCGATGTGAACGGCTGTGCTGGCTACCGGTGAGTTGGCCATCTCTGATCGCGACTGACCACACCAGCTGTGTCGTCCGTTGCGCCACGCCGCTAGCAGTGTAACTTGAGCGTACGGCCTGGCCGCTGCCGCCGCAGGCCGCGCCGGCCGGTCCGTGGCCATTCCGTACAGGTACGTCTGAGCCTGTCGCCACCGTTACGTGTGGAGGCTGCCGACGGGCTTGCATTGGGTGGTCATACATGGGGGCGTGCCGCGATGTACTCCGCGGGATTTAGCGCGGGATTTTAGCTCCAGCTGAGCCCCACCCTCCACCCCCTCCCAACTCGGTGCTGGATCCGCCCATGCCGTACGGCCGCTGCAACGCCCGGTATTGTGGCGACCTGTCCGTAGCCACCGGCGGTCATTGTCGATTGCGACGGTCTGTCCCTTACCAACACTCATTGGGACAGCCCGTGCGCCACCGGCGCCAACTGAGATGGTGGGCCCATCACCAACACCAGCTGTGCTGGCTGGCCCGCCGCCACCCCAAACCGCGACGGCTCGCCCAGCGCTGTCACTGTCACTAGCCGGCCCATCGCCGCCGTCAGCCATCACAGGCGGCCGGCCTGTCGCTGCCGCCAACTGTGACGGCTGGCTGTGATCCCTGTGACTGTGACGCGAGAGGGGAAAACACCACCGTTTGTGGAGGCTGGTCCGTCGCCTCTGGTGGCTGCGGTGGCCAGGCCGTCGCCAAAACGAAATGTCAAATCGAAGGCTCTGTCCGCTTCGATAGCTCAGTTGGTTAAAGCGCCTGCTTTACGATCCACCCACTCCTGGTGGAATGGGCTTGAGTCGTCCTAGACGATCGTCATTAGCTCTTGACTGAGACTTGCAGCCGGTGGCAGCGACCGCGCTAGAGGTGAATTGCCGTCAGAGGGCAGAACTGAACGTGCCGAGCATTGCGGCACGTTGAATTTCCGTCACCGAATTCTGCAACTGACTTGAAATTTCACGATTGGGTGGTGGTTATAAGAGCTCACGCAGCATGTACTGCTTGGCGTGGGGTCTGGTTTAAGAAATCTGTTCATTGTTCAGGTTCGAACTACATGACAAGCGCCACTACTGCCGGGCGCGGTAACTGTCATGCCTGTCATGCTAGCGAGGCAGCGTCACAATCGCCGACCGTGGCAGCGTCCCGTGACCATCACCTGTCTCGGCGGCCGGCGCGTCGCGCCCGCCGGCGTCAGCGGTAATGGCCGGCACGTCACTGGCGTAGGCCAGCACGTCACTGGCGTAGGCCAGCACGTCACTGGCGTTGGCCAGCATGTCAGCGGTGATGGCCAGCACGTCAGAGCTGTGATGGCCAGTACGTCAGCGGCGATGGCCAGCACGTCAGCTGTGATGACCAGCACGTCAACGCTTTCAACCGGCACAACCTGTCAAAGCCGCTATAACTACCTAAGGCCATCTGCATCGGCATGCCTGGGGTAACTGTAGTGCAAGGCTTAAGCTACATGTCCTGGTAACCAGAGGCACCGGATTCGATTCTCCGTGGTGTCTCCCTGCCAGAGTAAGGGGCAGGTGACGCTGCATAGTCTCAGTGGCCGAGTGTGTCGTAAAGCTCCACTCACGACATGTAGCGATAGGCCCGTACCCACAGGCGCTTGTGCCAACGATAACGGCCAGTGGGTCACTACCATCAACTGCAACAGCCGGCGAGCCACCACCACCAACTGTAACAGCCGGCGGGTCATCACCACCAACTGTAACAGCCGGCGGGTCATCACCACCAACTGTAACAGCCGGCGGGTCATCACCACCAACTGTAACAGCCGGCGGGTCACCACCACCAACTGTGACAGCCGGCGGGTCATCACCACCAACTAACAGCCGGCGGGTCATCACCACTGCAACAGCCGGCGGGTCCACCACCAACTGCAACAGCCGGCGGGTCACCACCACCAACTGTGATAGCCGGCGGGTCATCACCACCAACTGCAACAGCCGGCGGGTCATCACCACCAACTGCAACAGCCGGCGGGTCACCACCACCAACTGTGATAGCCGGCGGGTCATCACCACCAACGGTAACAGCCGGCGGGTCACTACCACCAACTGCAACAGCCGGCGGGTCATCACCACCAACTGCAACAGCCGGCGGGTCACCACCACCAACTGTGATAGCCGGCGGGTCATCACCACCAACGGTAACAGCCGGCGGGTCATCACCACCAACTGTGATAGCCGGCGGGTCATCACCACCAACTGTGATAGCCGGCGGGTCATCACCACCAACGGTAACAGCCGGCGGGTCATCACCACCAACTGCAACAGCCGGCGGGTCATCACCACCAACTGTGAACAGCCGGCGGGTCATCCCCACCACTGTAACAGCCGGCGGGTCATCACCACCAATTGTAATAGCCGGCGGGTCACCACCACCAACTGCAACAGCCGGCGGGTCACCACACCAACTGTGATAGCCGGCGGGTCATCACCACCAACGGTAACAGCCGGCGGGTCATCACCTCCAACTGCAACTGCCGGCGGGTCACCACCACCAACTGCAACAGCCGGCGGGTCACCACAACCAACTGTAACAGCCGGCGGGTCATCACCACCAACTGTAACAGCTGGCGGGTCACCACCACCAACTGTAATAGCCGGCGGGTCATCACCACCAACGGTAACAGCCGGCGGGTCACCACCACCAACTGCAACAGCCGGCGGGTCACCACCACCAGCTGCAACAGCCGGCGGGTCACCACAACCAACTGTACAGCGGATCACCACCACCAACTGTAAGACCCGGCACATCGCATTCACTAGCTGTGACGGCCGTCTCGTCCTCTCCGCCAGCTGCGCCGCCCGGGTTGTCATCGTCACCGACGGGGGACAGCGGGCCCGTCCGTCACAGCTCAATGGTGTGCCGACAGTCCTAACGACTCCAGGTTTCGAATTATGAAGGTAAAAATGTATTGGGTTTAAAAAAGATTCCTTACAAGGAAAGTTTGAGGAACTAATCACGCGATGCTGCTTCAGTCAACGTCGAAAGCACACATAATCCCATTGCATGGTATATCGGGCTAATTCTCATCGAGTTATTTGGTTGTTCGGTTTTAAGGGTCCGTCCACTGCATTGATTATTTCCTCCAAGGTCTCAATTTTAAGAAACTATGTCAAGTATTTCATGAATAGACAGATTTTCAGTGATAAGATGGTACAGTGCTTGAATAATGTAATGCATGTTAAGTGTGAAAGGGAATTAAGATGACCTTAAAATAATCATATGCGTGATATTCAAATAATTTTGAATGCATTTTCGGTCACGGACATTGCTTACAGACCTGAAAAGCCCAAAAATAAACACTGACCTTTTCGATTCTGTGAGCAAGGTCCGTGCTCGAAAATTCATAAAAGTACAGCTCACATAAATAATATCACGTATATTCCTTTGCTTGCCAGGAATGTCTTAATCCATCAGAACACTCACCAGCAGTATACCAGAACCTTGTAGTGTAACTAAAAAGCAAACACGCATTCAGACCGTGTGGGACATACGTACCTCCTGAGCTGCCTAGGTCGGTGAATATGAAGGTTTAAAGTCGATGTCCTCTCGCGACGGTAACAACTGTTCGAAGATCAATGGACGGCGGATCACTTGGCAGACCATTGAAATGTCTCAGCTTGAGGCGACTGGCTCCGTTCAATGTCGCGGCTCCAACACGCGCTAAGTACGTGAGCCACGGACAATGGTGCCCCGTATCTGCAACAGTGGCTGAACTTCCCCGGAGAGTAGATAGGAGTGCGGCTCGTAAGTGTTGCCTACGCGCAACTGGCTCGGTTAGTCACTTCTTTTTTTAAATGACTTCATTCGCCGATCATCTCTTTAAGGGATCAAAGCTTATATGCCCTTCGGGTGATATCGGTGCCCAATGCGTCCTAACTGCGTTACTATCTTGCTTGAAAATCATTTAGAAACATACGTGCCGAGATGTTCTTGCCGGCTGAACGACGGTCCGCGGCACCTGTTTGGCTAAGGAATTAATTAGCCTGTTCGTTTTCGGATATCTAGGGGTAACCAGGTACCCAGGCGAATTTTGTTTTTTAAATGGAGTACTCGTTAAACATGGTAAAGCATCTTCGCCTTTTCCCTGACCCACTCTACACCATACACCTGCGGTAGTCTTGGAGCCATCGGTATATATCTTACAGAACTCCCGATACACCGCATAAAGACGTCACAAGAACTCCGCGCGGTACTCGCCCTGTTGTCTATTTCTTGGAAGATCCATACGGATGGAAAAGATGCTCGGGCGCCAGAGGCTGCCTTCGTGAGATACCTTGCTTTGGACCAGGGACAACGCTGTCCATTGAGATGTCCGGCCGCTCAACTAACTGGTTGGCTGACGTAATAGGAGAAAAATTATGCATGCAAATGTTTAACCTAATGAAAATAACGGTTATAAGGAATAAAATCAATAAAACAAATAACAGTGATCCAGTATTTCTCACCGATGTTATCAGAGATGTTATCCCCGCCCCCCTCCCACCATTTAAAGATAGGCATACAGATGAGGGCTTTACATTAAAGAATACCGCATCGTCGAAGTTGCTGATTGGTTTTTCCGTCGCAAGTCTCCAGAAACAAGGATAAATGTAGCGGTGAACGGTAAGGAACCTGTCTAGCTCAGTGCTAAGAGTCCGTGCGCAGCATCTTTTCCACCCCGGCGGTTTAGGGCACGCGATGTCCGACACTGTCCACGGCGTCTAGACCTCGAACACAAGTAAGACAACTGTCGGTCGCGACCGGACCACGCGGCGACGCTAAGAAGTAAAAAGAAGTGTCGCATGTTTCGGCGTTGAGCGGCTTTATTTGTGGGCTTCGTGCTCAATAGTGGTAACCTGCTGACTGATATATCTTTTACAATGAATGTCATCGGGTGATTAGTACGACGCAGCATTCTTTCCCTGACGCGCTCTTCCTTTTAAACATAAAAGCACTATCACAAAAACTAGCAGACCAAATTTCCAAAAATAAAAACAAATCATGTTTAAAGGTGGTGTTACAGCACCCCGCAGCAGGGAAGTTCATAACGAATCACGGCGAATCAAGACAAAACGGTGTAAAAAGTGATGGCATTGCATTCTATAACAACGGCTTCTCATCTCTGCGAATTCTCGAGTTCTCTTTGTTCTCTCGAGTTTGTTTGTTTCCCTCGAGTTCTCTCTGCGAGTGGTTCAAAAATCGCAGTGACACTTGCAACACATTATTACACATCCAAGACACGTCATTCCAATACGACACTTTAGTAGCGCTTTCAAAGACCAGCCGAGACTCGTCTACCGCCGGGCGCGCGAGCACGCACACGGCGCTCTTGTTTCACCTCAACCCTGTGCGAGCATCGCACGTTGCCAGGAAGCGGGACCAACATTAAAGAGCAGGAGCACGCGGCCGTGCGCGAACACAATGAGCGGCCAAAACTGAGAACCTGAGGAGATTCCATTGACTGGTGCCGGCACACTAGGCCTGCGGGGCAAGCCCCACACGCGGCTGCTCAAACTCGCCAGAAGAGGACTCCACTGGGTGCTGGACACCCAGAAGCCTCAGCCATCCACGACGCGTCTCGAACAAGACAGGTGAAGCCTGGATTACAGTATCGGACAGCTTCCCCTTACGTGACGAACAGAAGCCTGCCCTGGTTTGTGTTACACTACCGCGCAGCCGTTTTTCGGCTGCCTGCTGTGTGTTCTTCTCGGCGGGATCACATGTTCACTTGCATACAATAAATCACACCAGATACACCAGAATCACACCAGTTCCAACCAATACCCCCAGCGCCCTGGGCTCCGTTCGGCGCCGCGCCAGCTGGGCCCGTACACACCGGCGTCCTGTGCTGCCCGCCGCCGCCGCGCCTCTCCGGGCCGGAGGATCGGGCAGCGGTCACACGACCAGCGTGCCCTCGGCCATCTGGTGTCGCAGCGTCGCCATCTGGGCGGCCACCTCCTCCTGATCGAGCTCCTCGGCGCTGGGGTGGTGCAGCCGGGCGCCCACCCGCTCCAGCAGCTGGCTGTACAGCAGGTGGCACGGCACCACGCCCCGGTGCACCTGGCGTGTCGAGGGGGGTCAGACTCGCCGCACCAGCGGCGGCTGCGCCCCGGGCGGGCACGAGCGGCCGGCGAGGCAAGGGATAGGGACACGACAGTCGTCTTAGGGTCAAAGTGCGGGTTAAAAGGCTGGCAGGGTTAGGTTTGGTACGCTTTGATCAAACGTCATGAGAAAGACTGACGTAGCGTAGCTCGAGTCCAGCATGTTCATAACACAAAACCGATTCTTAGCTTTCGGTGGTAAATTGGTCTCAACCAGAGATAACGAGACGCCACCATGCAAACATACAAGTTGGTACAACGTAACCAATACGCTTGCTAGCAGGCGGGGACGACATTGCCCAAATGCCTTCAGCGTCATCACAGCACGACATCCCCGGAATACGTATAAGAGACGGCACCGACCACCACATGGAGGCCGACATCGCGACGCGGCACACGGAGATCGTTTGATCACCCCGCTGTCCGCCGGCTGCCGGGCCGCCCTCGGCCGGCGCGTCCGGTGACCCCGGTGCTGACCTGCAGCGCGTCCAGCATGTGCCAGAGGGAGACGGGCTGGCGGCGGCCGACGCTCTGGTCGCCGCAGGCCAGCTGCTGCATGGCCACACGCTCGGCGTCGCCGGAGCGGGCGGCGTCCGGCGGCGGTGGCTCGCTGTAGCAGGACCGCGCCGAACGGACAGAAGCCCGTCAGTGGACGCGTGACCCGGCCCGCCCGCGCGCTGCAGCCGGAGTGTGGCGACGGCGGCGGGAGCCACGTGTCGCACACACCGGACCCCAATGAAACCACAAGGCGCTTCCCAGCATCAGAGATTGAACGTTATGTTATCGTTATTCACCGCTAAATGTCCGGGTGGGCTGTAAAACCACTGACCCCTGCAAATAACCACGGCATATTCATGGCAGCTAAAAGACAATAGAAGCACGAAACAAGTCAACCAGACAGACTGACGCCGGCTGCATGCGAACTGCACTGGATTGACGACATTCCGACTGGGTGCCGGCGCAGCAGCGGCGACCGTGGCCAGCTCACCTTTCGAGCCGGTCCAGCGCGGCGCCGTTCCGCAGCCAGGGGTTGGGCGCACCCGTGCCGATGCCGTGCAGGAATCGGCCATTCCGCAGCCGGTAGCCGCTCTTCCGACTCAGCACCACCGTCAGCACGTTCTTCAGACATTGCTGCCGGCGGCGGGGAGGGGTCAGGACCGTGGCGGCAAGGGCGCAGCGCCAGACGGAACCACGTGCCAGCCAGACAATGCTGATCGCAGCACGACTCCACCCTAGCGGCTGCTTGTTCTGTTTCCGCCTGACATCGCCAGGAGATCTGAGCATTACCCCAACTTCGCTCCACGCAGCCAGGTATGTGCCGCAGACATCACATATCACATGGCACCATGCCAGTCCGTCTCATGGCAATGGCCTGAATGGCCTCCAGGATGTTCCCCGGGCCGATCCTAGGACGGCGGGTATCTCCTGGTACCTGCCGATCATATCTCATGATGCCTAATCCCGCACTGCTCGTGACAACGGGCATCATCCGATACTGAACCTCCAAGCAGTAGCCAACTCCGCCTCCAAGGAATCCTGGAAACCGGTTTCACAGGGCCTTCCAGCGAACATTACCCGAACAGAACGTCTCCATGCACCGGTACTCCATCCACGGTCACGACGCTCGGTACCGAACAACGAATTACGCCTAGGAATAACGACCCCGACTCTCCCCTGCCGACCGCGCACGTCCGCCACTGACCTGGACGGCGAGCATGACCACGTCGACGGCGGCGTCGGCCACGCCGTCGATGCCGGCGTGCCAGGCGGCCAGGTACATCCGGCCGTGCACCAGCCGGCGGTCGGGCAGCACGCGGCGGCGCGTCACCAGGGGAGCACCCTCGTCGGCCGGCGCCGGCTCCGGCGGCGGAGGCGGCGGCGTGGCACGCGTCGGCGAGCCCACCCACTGCGCCGGCTCGGCGGGCTCGTACCGGTGCTGCCGGCGGCGACGGCGACTGTCAGCACGGACGCCGCGGCCGCAGGACGGGTCGGGTCCGAGGCGGGGCGCGCCGGAGCCGGTCCCGGCCATAGACATCCGCACACACGGCGGACACGCGAGAGAGGGAAGACAGCATCCAGGCACCGCCTTCGGTGGCCACTTATGCAACAGAGAATGACGAGCGGTCGTGGAAGGCGTGGACGCGAACGGAAATCGGTGGGAGGAGGATATAGCACACCTAGGGACGATCACACAAGGTAATTGGTGGGAACAAGTAATGGCACAGCAATGGTGATCGTGCAACGCCACTGTAGTCGTCAAATACAATTCATCAGCACACTCGCCAACACATGACGCTCGAAACGACACATACAATTTATGAAGCCAATATACAATTCTTAATAAATACACACCGCTCCACAATGGCCAGATTTATTTCGTGTTGAAGGTTAAGATAAACAAAAAACAACGCATACATACACACAGTGCAAATAATCTAATGTATGAGTTCACCATAAAAATGTAAGCAGACGCCGTGGTTAACATATTTCCAAACCACTACCCCATTAAAACAGTTCCTTTGGTTATTTTATGATTACTTTTATCATGTCATCCATTATTGCTTTGGGGGCATATATCCATCATTATATCTAGCTGCCATCGCATGGTAGTATCAACAACCATTTCGACCACCATTTCCACCCCCACCATTTCCTATCACTAGAAGAGCAGTGTTGTGGCACTTGCAGTTGTTATGGGGATCAGGACCTCCCCAGACTTCACTGTAAATTAACATTAGATCCATGGCCTAACTCCTTCAGAAAAAATAATGATTTAATTGTTTAATAATTCCATTATCTAAAGCGTGACAAGGTCCTGGATTATGAATAACGGATTATTAGGACGTCGTTAATCCACATGAGAGGGAGGATACAGCGCACTTCTGGCACTGCTATGTGCTATCCGGAGCATGCTATGATAGAACTACTTCTGCACTTGGGACCTTTTCCTACCTACCTATTGTCCTTCATCACAATCTGCCAAGCATGGTACACAACCCCTCTGAAGTGCGGCAACTCACGGAGAAAGGCGACGGGGGTCGCTTCCTACGTTTCTTGGCAGCCGGAGCCCTCGTTTGGCTCTTGATCATGGCCACCTTGTCCCGGAGCTGCGAGGATGCCCCAGACTCCTCCGAGGGAACGTCGCTAAAGCGGAACACATCGGCATATTAGCTGAGAACGACGTAACATGAGCTGCCAGTGCTACCTAGAGAATACGTTTCATCACAGCTTATTCTATTTCACTATCATCCGTCAGTATGCATGTTTGTCAGATGTTTACATCATGATTGATGTCGGTAACAAGAAAAGATCTTGGAAGTGGTACAGTGAGCACAATATATTGCAACATACTATGATGATGATACTTTATGGTTGTGATGATCTAGCATACAGCCACAACTGGAAAACCTGATGCTCCTTTACAGTATTTACTAGGTGGTCTTTCACAAAAAGGACAGAGCCAAAAACACATCAGAAACTTACCCAAGATGACATTTGTTGAGCAGTGCTAGCAAGAAGTTGTTGTGCAGGTGAACTTGGTGAACTGGGAGAAGTGTCCTTGACTTAGCATCAAACTCTTCTTTGGATATCTGGGAAGCATCTGCCTAATTAAACTCTGCTGGCCAAAGGGTTCTCCATAGCCTCTGCCAAGACAAAAGCCATGCATGCTCATGACCAGCAAAAGGTGGCATTTGATGGTTGTTGTGAAACTACATCACAGTGTGTAAGTCAAGACTGAATACAGCTGGCCTAGACCAGGTTCAGACCTGCACATCTGAGCATATATTATTCATATAGCATGCTGTTTATTACATTATCTACATTTTACATAGATTTTAACAATGAATAATAAATTTTGGCCACTTAACTATAAAAAGACCAGGGAATGCAATATATCCTACCATGTATATGACACAATATTGGGATGACTCAAAGCAGATAATCTGCTTGAAAAATTAGGGGACAAGCTCCTCAAAGAGTCAAGGGACTATGCTACACCACCTTTGACCAAAGCATATATAGTGTAAATGTTTACTTACTTTTACTTTGAACCACAGCTTCAGATTTGTAAAATATCTGCAACATTAGAAGAACAGCAAAAAAGCTGTTACCATTTGTGCACCATTAGCATGTCTACAAACACTGGCATATAGCTTAACTTGAATTTAACATCTAGTGCAGCACATAACAAAAAATTATTGTATGAATTTACAGGAATTCATCCATGACCTGACCTTACAATCAAACATCTCAGCAACATTAAAACAAAAAAGTTTGAATTCAGGTGCATGATTATATGAGAACAAGCAATGTAAAGAGGTAGAGTATACACAAAATAATTAAGAATGACAAAATGTAAGCACTAACTGTTTGGTTCCTTCTTCCCCCAATCCAGCTTCCAACTCATGTCTTGCCTTATTCAAATCATCCATGGATGCTTTTAACACTATGCCAGTGCAAATGTTTGCTGAAACATAAAAGCCACATATGTTAAATCAGATTTTCACATAGTTACAGCAAATGTTATGAAACAGCTAGCTTCAAGGAAAATGGAAAAACAGTGTACATTTGCCACAGCATAAGCAATAAAAGGTCAAAGGTGACAGACACCAAGCACCCATCTACAGGCATGCTAGAAATAGTTGAGACAAGCCCTACTTGTGGATATCCATAAATAGGTAACCAAAATCACCCCTGAATTGTGACCATGAAAAGCTTGCACCCCCTACCTGGTGATGGCTTTTAGCATTACCCTTGGCTGCCTATTACACAAGCTTGGATAACATCTAAGATTAATGCTAATTCCAAAAGAACCATGGTGTTTAGAATACAAATGAGACATAACTGACCACAAAAATGGAAGAACAAGGGCCCCAGGTTTTCTAATTTGTGAAGAAATAGGATGACATTAAGGATCAAGCCCTTTTTGGCAAAGGTAAAAAGCAGATTTAATAATTTGTCCTGTTGAACTGCCTTTTCAGTTCACAAACTACACACCTGTTTCGCCTTTATTGCCAGCCTACATGAAGAGGGAAGCTTGCCTTTTCAAACGATCTAATTGCAGACATTGAATAATGGACACTGCTCTAGATGAAGCAATAGTCATTTTCATACATGTAGCAAACAACCATGAATATCTCCATAAGGTGCTTTGTATGGCAATCATGCTAATGGTAATGGTCAGTTTTAATCAACTCCACTTATTGCATTGAAAAGTATCTAACATACAATAGTTCAATTTTAATAGGTAATAGCTATACACGGGCAGCATTAGAGTTGAACACTGCAGGATGTACATCCGCCTGATGATGCACGGACCACAAAAACGCGCAAAAACGTGAAAATGGAGGAAGGATGCAAGCAGAAATACAAATATAAAATAACAAAAACAAATAAACCCATAACAGTTACAAAGACAATGGCCGTGGAACCAAACGCAGCAGCAACACCTCCCCAAATACCATGATTTCCAGTACGTATCCGAGGTCGTATGTCGTGTCTGCGAAGTTAGATAACTTTGCGCATTGCAGACAAGCATTGGTGCCATAACTGCTCACGATCAGCTAAACCTGCTAGTGTTTGCGCGTTACAACGATTGGTTCGAAACTGGAAATGACAGCCACTACTATTGGGTGTCGAATTCATCTTCAATCTAACAGATATTTCACCTCTTGATTGAACGGATTTATTGTTGCACTTTATGCAGTACAGTCCATAATATTGCAAGTTCTGAGCTAACCATTTAAGAGATTTAGAAACTCGAGCAGGCTTTCCGTTAGCACTTGACATCATGACTCGTCGACGAACATGCGCAACTGTCGTGATGCGGATTGTTTCGGCCAGTACTTGCGGTGGCTACATCGCATTTGTGAATGGTGATGATAGGCGGGCTGATACATCGAGGCCGTGACCTGTCACGGAGACCGCGTTCGTATTTTGGCAAGATGGGAGATGTGGATAAATGGATAGATATTGCGAAAGACTGCAAATATCTCCCCGAAAACGACCTAAAGGTTGGTTTTGTCATGATGTTGAAGGGCTTATGGTTACGGGAAAGTAGTCGAGTTAGGACGTAGAATGTGTGGACACGATCACCTGAAGGATGCGGTGCCTTCCTCTTTGCGTGAGTTCTGATATGGTTTGCTGATTATGTTCTGTTTGGACCTTAGCTTAGACTGCTTGAGATAAGGTGCTGTGTATAGATGGAAGTGTGCGGGAGTGATAGGCACATGGTTCTTTTAGTTAGTTTGGTCATAGCCCAATGCAAAGACTGAAGGTAGATATTTTAGTCGGTCAGTATTTGTTTTGAATACTCATTTTCTATGGAGTAAATTGCTTGTTTACTTTCTTTATCACCATCAAACAGTCTCTTAATTGAGTCATATGCTGCTTGTGGCCTTCAAATGGTTCTTTATGTAGGTAGAATCAGTGAGATATTTAACATTTGTATTTTGATGGGTAGGCTCAGAAAACATAGGGGTGCTCAGACATCAGAAGAAGAGCAAAAGAAGATGGTGGATGGGGCCTGAAACACAAATTGATGCCCTTGTAAAACTAAACTTGTACTAAGTTATATGGTTTATCCCTTCAGTGTACATAGACATTTCATATACCCTTATTCTGGAGGATCAATTTTGTTTTATAAAAGATGATGCATTGGGAATGACAATGTCTTGACCTTTTTCAACTGTTTGAGTTGTGTGATGAATTATTCTCAAATTTACAATGACTTAGCTTAACTCTGCTTTTAACAAATGGTTCATGTTTGAAACTGTTCTGCAGGTGGCACATCACTTGAGCCATGGTATGTATATATATATATATATATATATATATATATATATATATATATATATATATATATATGACTTATTATGACTGATGCATTTCCTGGCAAAGAACACATAGTGAAGCAAATTCAGTTTTCAGTCTGATTAAGGCAGCTGTTAGGCAGCAGCTAGCAATTCCTTTTTTCATTCAAGACTCAGTTGTGCCATATCACCAAAAGTAGCATCCTGATCAGACTAGTTCTTTGCTAATCAAACTTGAGAGATACACATATGCCTGAAGTTCAAGACCTGTCTGGCAGACATTTAAGGCAAACCTGCTGCTTAAAACCATAAGTAACTGAAGATAAACACAGATATTTGGGTTTGAGAGAAAGGGGCTAGAGGTGATTAAAATAAGTAAAACCAAAGTATGCAAGTGTGCTGAAGAAATATGTTGGTTAGCCAATCATTTATTTAACTAATAAATGGAAGTCTGCAATACTACATGACAATTGGTAACCTGAATGATATCAGATAAAGAAGCATTTCATGATTTTTTTATTGCTGATGTTCCTGTTGTATGAGCACCATGTTGTACAAACAGTTTTTAGTCATATTCATATAAGCCAGTTGACCTGTTGTGAAGTCTGCGAAAAGTCCTTTAATCAGAAGCTTCTCTCTTTCAACACATAGCAATCATTTTAAGCTTGGACCACTATGTTCTGTACAGCATGGACCACTGTGGCCACTATGTGCAGTATGAGCTTTAGAAGTAAGGTAATGTTTTGAGTGGGCAAGTATTTTAGTAGTTGAAGGAATGAACCAATGAAGAGGCTCTGCTTTGGAAAAGGCTTCAAGAAATTTGGTGGGACGAAGATGGTTGGTGGGAGATTTTTTTATCTGCAGGTCAGAAAGATCAAATCCCTTTGCTGTGCTCAACTGCACTGAAGCAAAGATAGGGCATAATTTCAAGCGAAATAATGGAAGAAATAATGGAAAGCAGTTTCTGAGGACCAGTTGGTGCCAGGGAAGTGACATATCTGCTTCCCACCCCCAGAAATGCCATGAAAACCACTCCTGCATGCGTGAGGTGGGTGAACCAGACCAGTGCACTATTGCTGTCCTCTGTCCAGCCAACAAACAAGAGATTTCCTCCTCTGAGTTGTCCCTGGCCAGCAGCTGACATGGAACTCTTTTGTATCCGCGCAGGCACGTCGATGCCACGTCACCCTATGATCCCTCGACGAGATCTGCCACCAGCCTACACTTGACATCTTGTAGCTCCTTGTTCAAGCTCATATTTTCTCATGCATCTTATCCTGCCTATCCCTACCTGTCTGGGGTGGGGCCACCCACTGAAACCTGCATTACATTCAAAAGGTAGTGAGCTTTGCAGCCCAGCCAGTTACGATGTTGCGGTGCTCTGATCCCATTTCGCCTGCTCTGGAATCGGTGGGGTGGCGAAAGGATGGCGAGATTGCATGCTAGCACCACTGCCATCAAGTGCATAGAGACATGGATGGCACTCTCGCGTCCACTCGCAGTCCAGACCGTGTCTTGTTAAGCGAGTCCAGATGTCGGGAGGAAGGCCCGTGTCGTGGCTGCTGGAGCGCTCCAGCCTGCAAGTGTTGATTGATAGGCGCCCAACGAGCTCTGGCGCTCAGATCGGCATTGTCTTGGAGCGGCACGCCTGCTGGCAACGCGGCACCGGTGCCCCGCCTGTCCGTGTGCACGGCCATGATGGGGATACGCGCGGCTTTTATCGCCCTCGCAGTGTGGTTGTGCCGTGTGTAAGTTCCGCTATTTAGACCCAGTTTTAGAATCAAATCGCATCATTGAGAGACGTTAACTGTACTCGGTCTTGGTCGGAAATGTCTTCTGGCAAGTTGTGCCCCCAAAGATTTTCCTGCTCAAACCCATGTCTATGACCTGAGCATGTTCGGCTATCTCATCTTTCCAGATGCTTGGACACTATCTCATCATTTCAGGCAACTGCCAGCTATTGATGCACGGTGAGCAGCGTGATTTTCTGGAGCCGACTGGCGGCGTCACGTCGTCTGTATGCTGTGTCTGGTTTGTTACAGAGCTTGTGTGATGCTGTGTGTGACCTGTTGATGGAGGAGTCCAACATTCAGCCAGTCCCTTGTCCAGTCACAGTCTGCGGAGATATCCATGGACAGTTTTACGACCTGGAGGAACTCTTCAGAACTGGCGGACAGGTGAGAACGACGAGTGTATCCAGCACCGCTATTTTGCCAGTTTCCGTATATTTAGTACAGGAGGCCTAAAGTAGCCAAGTGTAGCTAGTTGCGTTGCAGACAACGAGTAGCTGTGCAATTGTAGCAGCGTGGTATTTTAACATGATGTTTATTTGGCAATATGTGGTTATTTGACACTTCCAACACATCTACCGCGTCAGTGCAACGAAAACTGTCACCTTGTAGCCTGCAGAGGTGTCGGGGCAGTGGCCGCACGGCTGCTGAGGCAGACGCGGCTGCCAGCGGTGCGCTCTCCACCACTGATCGAGAGCGCCACCTGCCCAGGTGCCCGACACAAACTACGTGTTCCTGGGCGACTTCGTGGACCGCGGCTACTACAGCCTGGAGACGCTGACGCGCCTGCTGACGCTCAAGGCCAAGTGGCCCGACAAAATCACGCTGCTGCGCGGCAACCACGAGTCGCGCCAGATCACCCAGGTGTACGGCTTCTACGGTGAGTGGCGCTGATGCTGCGCCATCCGGCCGCCCAGCCGTCCGACGGCGGCCGCGTCAGGTCACCCGGGTGTACGGCTTCTACGGTGAGTGGCGCTGATGCTGCGCCATCCGGCCGCCCAGCCGTCCGACGGCGGCCGCGTCAGGTCACCCGGGTGTACGGCTTCTACGGTGAGTGGCGTTGGTGCTGCGCGTGGCCGTCCAGCCGTCCGACGGCGGCCGCGTCAGGTCACCCGGGTGTACGGCTTCTACGGCGAGTGGCGTTGGTGCTGCGCGTGGCCGTCCAGCCGTCCAGCAGGAGTCGCGCCACATCACCCGGGTGTGCGGCTTCTACGGTGAGTGGAGCTGCTGCGGCGCCATCCGGCCGCCCGGCCGTCCGACGGCCGCCGCGCCAGACGCCGCCGCGCTGCTTTGTGTGTACGCCGGTGGCCACTGCTTCTGTGGTGGAGAATCTATGCGCTGACTGTACCCAATTGCTAGCTGCGTTTTATTACAGGATGTGCTTCCATGCTACAGCTGATGGTCCGTGAGCGCCATGTTGCATCAATCTTATTGCTTTCACGGACCGAGACCTCGCTGCACCCAGTAGCTCTGCGAATGGATCGAAACCAGGCGCGTAAATTCCACATCTCGTGGATTTCTTTCCCCACAGATTATGACGTATATGACGAGTTAGGTTTCTACTCAGAGAGCGCTGGGCGGTGGGGGTGGGGCTTGGGACAGATAGATGGTCAAAACGAAGTGATTCCAGAAGCTTGTTGTACCGAATGCAAAAGACGCCATGGCCATTTTATGAAAACGCACAAATTACAGTGATGATAAAGATGTCACATCTATCCCGAATCACTAGGATTTGGGTGATGCATAACCTGTTCATGCCTTAACGATTAGGTTGGTCACGATAATCAATAAGCTTTAAATAGACCATTCCGAACATTTTGTTTTGTGAACGCGAGGTTCGCTTCCTTGCCTTTGGACATCAGAGATTCCTGTTACACAGTTGTGTGAGCTAGTGGCTCGTATCATTGCATTAGCGTGTCCTTGGGCGAGATGAGAAACAAATTGGCTATGACATTCATGGCCATCTCTTCTATGGCTCGGCTGCTTCAGTTTATTGAATACGATGTTTACAGAGGGCCATCACAGAGCTGCGCTCGCTTGATTATTCTTACCCCCTTTGTTCCCAGACGAGTGTCAGAAAAAGTACGGCAACGCCAATGCCTGGAAGTACTGTTGCAAGGTGTTCGACCTGCTAACCATTGCTGCGGTGAGTGGTAGCTGCTATGTTACGACTTTCTCGGAAATATCTTTCGGTCCCCGTCACGTTGAAACGAATTGGCAACGCCGTCTTTCCATTGGTGGAAGAGCCAGATGCCGCTCGCTATCAATCATGACGGTCCGGTCCGCGGGCTGTGCAGGGAGTATACTACCCGACGGCGCGCGTTTGGGCGGCTGTTTCGTGTGTAGGTTGGTTTTTGGTGGCACACTGCTCACTGAGCACTGATCAGGACCACGCGCTGACCCAGGGCACTGTGCCGCCGCGCTGTGCCCACGCTCACCGGTCGGTTTGTCGCCAGATCATCGAGGACGAGGTGTTGTGCGTACACGGCGGCCTCTCGCCCTACATCCGGTCGCTGGACCAGATCCGGGTGATCGACCGGAATCAGGAGATCCCGCACCAGGGTCAGTGTCCAGGGTCAGGGTCAGCTGACGGCCGGTCGTCGGCCGGCGTGGCTCGTGTGCCGTCCTGACGTGAGACCGCACCAGAGTCAGTCCAGGGTGAGGGTCAATTGACGGCCGGCCGTCGGCCGGTGTGGCCCGTGTACGGTTCTGACATGTGAGACCGCACACACGACCGACCGGCGACGCTGCAGCGTGCTGCAGCAGATGGCCAGGTGGCAGGAGCAGCGAAAGCCCCACGAACGTCTGTGTGGACAGGGGACCCCATTTGCACCCGCATTACCTGTCCTGCGTTCGTTGGTGGGGTTTATATGGCCACGAATATGTGGAGGACGGCTTCGGTGCCCGGTGGGAAGATGTTTTAGCCACCGGCTGTGACTCGGGCACCGCGGGCTCGTCTACTCTGCAAGCTTCCGTGTCGGGTCACGCTACGGCTCCCTGGACATGGGCGTCTTGTGACCCGGTGCGATGCGGTCCTGGAACAGGAGCGTCCCGTGGCCGGATACGATCCTGTGCTGACCTCTCTGTCAGTTGCCACGTGACGAGCGCAGTCGGTGTGCCCTAAAACCCAAATCATCATCGTCATGCCGACAGGGGCGTGTTGCTCTCTTGTGCTGCAAGGTGTTCGCCGCGCCGTGTCCCGGGACGGCGGCGTGATGTGACTCTGTGCCATCCGTTTCCCACCGTCCCGTTTGCAGAGGGGGGCAGCGCCTCTATCCATGTCCGCTGCTATGTGTCTGTGAGTTGGACCGCCCTGTGACATGGCGTCACCCCACGCCAGCAGCTGCGGTGCCTCCGGACGGAGGTGTCGCGTGACCCCACACCGTGTGTGTCGTGCGCTCCCGCGGTGTCGTGTCCTGCGGTGTCGCGTGTCCTGCGCTCACCGCCCTTTGTCGGCGGACAGGGGCGTTCTGTGACCTGGTGTGGTCAGACCCGGAAGACGTCGAGTCGTGGGCCACCAGCCCTCGCGGCGCCGGCTGGCTGTTCGGGGCCAAGGTGACGCACGAGTTCATGCTCGAGAACAGCCTGAAGCTCATCTGCCGGGCCCACCAGCTGGTGAACGAGGGTGAGTGGGTGGCACTCCTGCCGTCGGTCCGCCTTCCCGCCTGCTGGATGTAGTGATATCAGCCCCGAGACAGGTATGATTTTCTCGTGATGTTAGAGCTGAGACAGGTACTGTGTTCCAGTGGTATTAGCGCTGAGACAGGTTTTGTACTCTGGTGAAATTAGCCTGAGACAGGTATCGGTTTCCAGCGATATTGGCGCCAAGACAGGTATTATGTTCTCGAGGATCGTCGCATGGATCCATTTCCCTCCGCTAACGCCTTCTTTCAACCTTTGCGCCATTATTTTGTCTATGATTGCTGTATCTCATTGCAGTTTACAGTAAGTATCACATCGATATTTACTTGGCACTGAACATAGCATTGACCTAGCTCACCATCCTTGAGAGGTAGGGAACGTCATCGCCTCTCAGTCACCGCCTTGTCCCCAGCTGTGACAATTATGTGATAGTTGCCACGAGATAGCAACCTCATATTTGCGCAATTGCCAGGGAACCTGTTGGGCGTGATCGCAGACATCAGGCTGCCCGCTTAATGACTCGACCTGGCATTGCAGGTGGAGACAGCGTGGTTTCACGTGATTGCCTCAAATTTTGCCTTGCCGTAGGTATGTTCTCGGGGTAAAACTACGAGCCATGACTCGGCGCCTCTTTCACAGGCTACAAGTACGTCTTCGACGAGAAGCTGGTGACTGTATGGTCGGCACCCAACTACTGCTATCGCTGCGGCAATGTGGCGGCCGTGCTCTGCTTCAATGACATCAACAATAAGGAGGTGAAGATCTTCCGCGCCGTGCCCGAGGAGAACAGGAAGGTGCCGCCAAGCATCACCACGCCGTACTTCTTGTAGTGAGCGCTGTCGACAGATGGCGTTGATGTCGACGTGGGTGCTCAACCAACTGCATCTGCGTGAGATAACTGTCCGTGGTGCTTGCGCGTGGCAGTGCATGCTTCAGGCCGGACGGCGTGGTCTGGTACGTCGTTGGTCGTACCCGCCGACATCAGTTTTGGTGGACATGTGCACCCTCATGCATTCAGGGGTAGGGGCCCGTGTGCCCGAGTGAGCAAGACTCGAAGGACACGTGTGCTCACCGACGAGGGTGTTCTATGTGCTAGCGAGGGAGACGCGACGGGCGCGCGAGCTCAGTGTGCGCGAGCTCCGTTCGGTACGTGGGAGAGGCGAGACACTCTCACCCGGGTGGCGCCCGATGGCACGGTACTCTGGGCATCAGCTCGGAGGAGTCGTGCCCGACGAAGGGACGATCGCTGTGGCTCTCTGTGGCTCGGTAGATCTTCGGTGTCGTTGGGGAGAGCTGCTCCCTCGCGATGAGGGTAATTCTCACCCCACTCCGGCGGGCGGTGCTGTCGTCCCGGCGGTAGGCGGGCTTCTGTCTCCCCCCCCCCCCCTCGTGAGGCCGTGTCTGTGTGTGGATTGGTCAGGCTGGCGGCGCCCCCGCCCTGCGGTGAGCACGCGTGAGCGCGCGAACCTGAGTCCGTTTGGTCGTCGCTGATGGGGTCGTGACCTCCTGCACGGCCGGCGTCTCGCTGTAGTGTCTGCGGCTGGGACCGTGTGGCGTCCGGTCCCTCGGACGGGTCGCCCCCCCCCCCCCCCCCTCCCGCTGGTGGGCGTCCGCTCGTCGCATTGTACCTGCATTGCTCTGTCCATCTTCACGACAGCCCACGTCCCATCGGCAGTCCGGTCTCGCTCCGCGGCGGTGCCGGGCCGCTGACCGTTTTATAAGCAGGACCATCGCCAGGTCAAACCGTCATCACCACCGACCATCGTTGAACTAAAATACAGCCCATAATTTGCCACTGGATTTTTCGTGGAGCTGCGGTGCCGTAGCTTCTCGTCACTGCCCCAGCCGGCGTGCGGCCGTGGGGTCCAGTCGCGACGTGACCTTGCAGGCCGGGCGGCCGGGACCCGCGGCGCACGGCGTCCGCCCCCTGACGTTTGTGCAGGCCTGAACCCTGCCATGGTGGATCGGCGCCGCGGGAGACGCAGCGGTGCGTACATGGTGCGCAGCAGTGCATACATGGTCCGCAGCGGTGCATACATGGTGCGCAGCGGTGCATACATGGTGCGCAGCGGTGCATACATGGTCCGCAGCGGCGCATACATGGTGCGCAGCGGTGCATACATGGTCCGCAGCGGTGCATACATGGTGCGCAGCGGTGCATACATGGTCCGCAGCGGTGCATACATGGTCCGCAGCGGTGCATACATGGTGCACAGCGGTGCATACGTGGTGCGCAGCGGTGCATACATGGTGCGCAGCGGTGCATACATGGTCCGCAGCGGCGCATACATGGTGCCCAGCGGTGCATACATGGTGCGCAGCGGTGCATGCATGGTCCGCAGCGGTGCATACATGGTGTGCAGCGGTGCATGCATGGTCCGCAGCGGTGTATACATGGTGCCCATCGGCGCATACATGGTCCGCAGCGGTGCATACATGGTGCGCAGCGGTGCATACATGGTCCGCAGCGGTGCATACATGGTGCCCAGCGGCGCATACATGGTCCGCAGCGGTGCATACATGGTGCGCAGCGGTGCATACATGGTCCGCAGCGGCGCATATATGATCCGTAGCGGTGCATACATGGTCCGTATCGGCGCACGCGTGCGCGATAATGTGACCCAGGCAAACCGCAGATGTGGCTTGTGATATCGGTCGAGACAGGATCATTTCATTGATCGAATGTCACGCCGTGGTGTAATATGTAACCAGTAATGCTCGTACGGCGTGGGGGAAGTGAGTTGGTGACAGGACGTAAGTTTTATCATACGGGTGACACCGAGGCGAAATAGAGTAGAGCTATGCGCTGTCTGAAACCCATACAAATGGGTCATGAGCACTTTGGAATGGGCGTCCCTTCCAATGTGTTTTGATAGATGGAGGTCTACCGGCGTATACTCCGTGGTAAGTCACAGATAACATGGCTTTAAGGTTGTCTGGCAATGGGCCTCTGGTGGACGTAATCGATGCATTTTGGGGGAACTAGAAAGAGAGAGTCTTCTTTGGCCACATTATTCTCGAAGTCAACTACCGTGGGTGTAAGCCGTCATAATGATCTTCATGCCCAGTTTGTGTGGCCCATTGTCCCAGTCTGGCCCGCATTGTGTAACAGCTGAGAGCGTTTTCGAAAGTTCAACATTACCCTCTTCCCGGTCGATGTCGACGTCGATAAACTGCTCCTTGCTGTTCGTTTCGCGACTGTCTGCTCTCGTTGCCAAGATTTAGAACAAACCCTTGATTGATATCCCAAAGCCGGCAGGTCACATGTCCACTGCCGAGTGCGCACGACCGGCCGTGAAGGCCACTCACCGTGACCCCATCACCATTCGCTATTCCCTCCCGTCCAGCGAAAACGATTTTGTGTCTATGTGTCAACGGGCTGCTGGAATCTGCGCTCGCTTTCCATTCGTGCTACGGGGCGTTTTCGCATTTGGGCAAATTTTGCGTTTCCCATGCGCAGCTTTAGTTTTGGTGATATCACGATGGTGCACCAAAGCCAGCCCTCATTAAACAAAAAGCATGCAAACAGCTCTCGAACTGCTACGTGGCTCTAAATGATCTGCCGCTTGCTGCCGAAACTTGCTTGGCAATGCGGTAATATGATAAAATATCAATGCGTGAAAATGGAAGGCAACGCACAGCCTGTCAAGAGCGTGGTGCCTGGCGGAACACAGCCTGACCCTGTTCGCCAGCGAACGGTACAGAATCCGCCGTCAACGCACATTATATGGCTTGGGCCTTTCAAACAAATTTAATCTCCCTTGTTCCCAAAGCGAGCAAAATATTTACGTTGCCTTGGCAACCACTACGAATCATAAAACCGTATCTATTTTTCAGTTACGCTGCCAATGTAAACTTTTGAAGAAATAGTGGCTAGACGTCATCAAAAGTCATTCAAACGGTTCTGGTTCACACAATGGAAGGTTTGTTGGATAGTCTGACATTGTCTGTGGATCTGGATGGTATGCATTTCCGTCGATAAGGAATAATTTGACAGGCATTAGTCACAGAGAACTGGGCTGCACGCCTGCATACTTGTCACACCACAGTCTCGCTCACTTTCGGCCACAGCAACTTGTAGTATTCGAACCCTGTTTTAAAAACTATAATTTCCTTGTTCTTGTCTATTGCCGGCGCGGTTATGCCGGTGCGACGGTCTTGAGGTTACTTAGTCGTTTATAAACGATGCATTCACCTATGCCATGCCGTTGGTTCACAATTGTATCCGTTCCGACCGTCGATATCGCGCGTAAAAGGCAGGCCTTTCCACGGTTTGCGCGCGAGTGAGCAGAAAAGCGCACCAGCACCCCTTTGCCGGTGTCGTAGCCCGTTCTTTTCTGAGTCAAAATGTGTCAGTTCCGTGTCACTGGAACGCCAAATGGTCAGAAATACCGGTCTGGTTTGCGCTTGACTTGTGCAGCTTTTCACAATCAGGAAGTTAACGTTTTCATTGGCCTCACTGCGATGGTCTCAATGGTCTCATCTCAAGAGAAAACCGTGCGATATTGAACTGTTTAAGGAAGACTCACTGGGCTTGCAGCCTCAATCACAGCGAGCGAACATGCATTGGTTTCAGCACAGAAATCAACATGGGTTCATCATGGCGTTACCCAGCGTGTATTTGCCTATGGCATTTGCGGTTTTCAGAAGACGTAGTAAATAACCTCTTACCAAGTATCTGATGATGTGAAAACTCATTTCAGCTGAGCGTCTTCTTCCAGTTGTCGGAACGGTCTGCCGAAGCAGCGTGTGCCCTTGGAAAATATGGCGGTTTGTTCTCACACACCTCCCACAAATCAAAGTTAGAGCCACCGCCACGCAATTTAGGGTGGCATTTAGGTGCTTATCTAAGCATTTGGTGCCGTGGCCGTAAGCAAAAGTGGTGGTCAGGCAAAGCCGCTGACCTGTATTACACCAGCTGGAACGGTTCCCCGACCAGGTTCACATGACGGTGTGTGAGGGGGGGGGGGGGGGGGGGAGGGGAGCGGGGGAGATTCAGCACCGAGCATCAAAACAGCGTGAATGTAGCTATCCATTGATAGTCAAATGGGCAGAAATTCAATCCGGTGTTTGCGTGGAAACAGAGTCACGTCTTTGAAGCGTGCTGACCCTGTTCAAACATACATAACTTGAAAATGACGTATGTAAAAGTCCGTGACGAAATGCCCTTTGCTGTTGTGTCGTCACCCATTCGTCGCGCTGAAATGCTTTAGCGTGCCCCATGGGTCATAGACAGTGAAGGGTTTATTAATCTCAAAGATAGACACTGAACGTCAGCGTTGTACAGTGAACAGCACTTACGTCTTTGAGCCGTTCTTTGCAAGGCGAACGACAACAAGACGTGAATGCAACTAGCGGAAGGCGTCGAGACGCCGGTTGTTACCTGGCATCAGCACTCGGCTTGACTGGCATCCCCTGATTCGAGGGACTTGACTAGCATCCCCTGACTCGAGGGCCCTGCCACTGCGGGCCTCAGCCCGAGCGGGTCCGGCTGCCGCCAGGGCCTGCGCATACCGGCAGCTGCACCCAGCGCTGGTGACCGTGCCAGGAGCGCTATCGGTACGTGCTGGCTTCAGGGCTCCGATAAGCTCGGCTGCAGCGTCTCGCAGCGACTGCTGACATCCGCACCCGTGTTGAGACGTTTGGGCCGTGTAGATGCTGTGCAATCCGGCGTTTTGTACGGAACCGACGGCAAGAGTAGTGCAGTTGGCCCTGGAGATGACAGCATTCCATTTGTGGAAACCTACCAATGAAAACTTTTCGGAAAGTTGGCTCACGCTCTTAACAAAAAATACAATGCCAATTTAAGAAACTCTATGGAGAGTTAGCGGAAAGTTGGACTTGCTGTTTCTCTGTAGGTCAACGAAACAATATTTGTATGGCGGATAAGATGTTTCAGGCGGCAACAGAGAGCGACGTTTTAAGTAGTCATTTACAGCTTTGCCCACGGCATGCGAAGACATTAGAAGTTGCAGCCGTGGTACTGCTGTTCTGAGGCTATGCTGGTGGGCAACTTAACGAAGTTGGATGCTTACATCAGAGGATCGTACAACCAGACTGAATAATATTTATCACCCGGCCCCTTGTACGTATTTCCTGCACACCTTCATATTCGTTGATGGATATTGGTCAACCACATTAATAGATCTGCCTTTATCTGTTTCATGAATAAAAGGACGATCATAGGCGGTGAATTAGGGACGGCTCAGCGCAGCATGTTCAAGGGCCTCTGCATTTCTCATCTCCTGCTTAAGTTGAACGCGTACAGGTAAATTGTCATTGCTTAGTGTGACGAAACTTACCCCGGAGAGAAGCGGGCATGACAATTTTCCATGGGTGCTTTCCGGGAATTCTCAATGAAAATATCCTGACAAGTTTGTAAGTGTTCGATCGGAATCATTTAGAAGCCGTTCCGGTAGAATATATCTGGAATGCAAAACATTCCAAACGACTGTATACTTTTGGAAATTTTCCATCACCAGCTGGTATGTCAGTTGTCTTACATGTACATGCAGTTGGAATCATGTGTCTACATATTGTACAATGCTCATAACGTGTTGAAACAGCATTGTAACTCCGCCAGTTTGATGGATTTTTACCGAGTTCTTTGCTCGTACTGCCAAGACAAGCCTGAAGGGAAAGTTCAATATTTAAAGCTGTGAAAGCAAGTATCAGATATGATGAAATAAGCTCACTGATAACTAAAAGCATGCTTTAAAGTGGAACAGAGAAATCTAGACAACATAATTTCTTTATTTCGCAAAAATGCTTTTAAATACATCATCGTTTGATTGCGTCATCTTACCTTGCATGATATCGATTGAGGGTTGATGACAGACGTTCTACCTGGATATCGTGCCCACGAACGCCAGGCATGAGCGACTCGACAGTTTGCGTTGTCTGGCCTTAATTGCCGCATGGCGTATGAAATCGCAGGATTTGAATGGCATTATTATGACGTCATACATGCCAAGATGATTTTGAAATGCTGTTCCCGAAATACCTTCCCCATTTTCGTGGGAGTGTAGCTAAGGAAATAAAGGGGCTTAGGTCTTAAGAAGGGCGAGGCTGCAAACTGCACCGAATGATCTTCAAGATTGCTATTTCAGTTCAAAACCCCATACAAATGTGGAACACTCCCTTGAAGTTTGACCATCAATACCCTAATGATCGCAATTCCTGCGATAAACTAAAACAAGCCAAATACAGAAAGGGCTTTCAGCCTGAAGCGATTATTTCACTTTTAGTATTTGAGATGCATGGTTTAAATGACACTCAGACAGTCACAGGCGCATAGCGCGTTCTCAACAATCAGTTTAAGAGATGTACCGACCCTATTCAGCATCACGGCTCGGTTAGCACCAGCAACATGCGAAGGAATGTCATTCACATCAACAATCCAGATTCGTGGGTGCAAATCTATCATAGCGTACATCTTACCTTATTGCTATCCAAACTGAGCACAAAACCATGCGCAAAACTGATCCTACCGATAAAGCCAGCTGTTAGGAGCTAGTTCTAGTGCTCAACGTACACACTAACTTGACGTCCACGTTTGTAAGCCTCCCAAAACTGAACACTTTTGAAGCAAAACGATTGAGCTATGCGATCCAGTGATGCCGTGGATCAACGCCCACAAGACGTGACAATACGTGAGAATCAAGCGCTGTCCCTGAGCGTGTAAGACGTTGTATGGCTGGCCTTGTTGCTGTCATTTAAAGACGTTCGTAAGATGCATATCGATTCGTAAAATCGAAGTCTTTCCGACAATGACTCTTGAAGCCGTTATGACTGGCCTTTTTCTGACCGGACTGATGCGTATTAATATGTCCAGCTCTGTGCTCTCCGATCCGGCCCGATCAGCAGGTGCGAACAGGACTTGAGCAGGAGCAGAACTTAGAGATGGTGAGAGACAACGATGGTGAGCTTTCCATGAGGTTATCGGAACAGTCTGGGCTCTTGGATCTGCTCAGAGTTGTTCAATAGTCCGAATAAGGCTTTTGTGTAAAGAATGGGATGATTCAGATCACAAAAGTGCACTTGGGGGCCGTGGGCAAATCATGAGTGCTTGGTTATTCCGGGATGATTGCATACAACCAATCTGCTAACTGCTGCATTGACAACGTGGGCTAGGGAGGCTAGCTCATCCCATAACTAAGCAGGTGTCCTCCACCCACGGTCCCGTCTTGGTCCATCCTACCCTGTTCTGCCTCTGTTATAATGTCCACCTACGCATCAGACTGTAGTTATTCAGTGCATTAGCGAGGAATATTACTTACATAGATAAGGCAGTAGTATTAGGCTTATTTTTCGGAAAAAAACAGGAGAATGGAGATAAAGCTAGGTTGATATTTCGGCAACATGCCTGTATTGAAAGCTTCTGCTGTTGTTTCGATGAAGGCATGTTGCCGAAATATCAGCCTAAATATATCTCCATTCTCTTGGTCTTTTCGAGGAATAAGGTTAATACTACTGTCCTATCTGCATCAGACAATAGGGTGCATCTGGCTTACTACGAAAGGTTACACCAGGATACAAAGAACATGATTTTATTAGCTATCCGATTCTGGCCGTGCAGCTTTCGAAACCTATGACTGGATTCGTTGCGGTCCGCTTCTCAACTCAATCTCGCGGTAAAACAACGAGAGCCATCCCGGCAAAAGTACGGAACGGGAGGCTTGAGGCACGTCCGGCACGACTGTGCGTGCATGTTATCACAAAACAGCCTCTGAATCTCACTTCAGGCTGCCCGATGGACGCTATTAGAAAACACACCAACTGATGCGCCTTCATTGGCTGCTGGCATTACCACAAGCTTAGAAACTACTGGAGCCTTTGCCACATATTTCCCAGTGCAGTTCATTTGCTCGGCGAGCGCGGCAACGCCCCGTTTGCGGTGAGTCCACCGCCACCGTCCGCGTAGGCATATTGCTGCGTATGGCGTAGTCGGCGGTCAGCGTGCCCCTGCGGCTTGACCCCTGGGAAATATTGGCCGTGCGGAGAGAGAAATGACGGCAAGGTACACCAGAGTTTATTGGAAAACAAGCTAGGGTCAAACACAACGGCCACAACGTCGGACACCAGCATCAACACTGTTCTACAGCCAGACGTGTTAAATCTCCGCAACAATGACCGTAATGAGCTGACAACGGAGAAAGAACTAATGCTGCCAACGGCGCCGTTTGATTCGCAGTCGCCAGAAATGGCGCACCGGGCGCTCACCTACCATAAAATACTACAGCAAACCACCAGATGTTCATGCTACCGGTGCATTGCCAATGGGCTGTGCCACATGTTATTACGTAACACTTCTGACAACCACCTTGGGCACCGACCCCAGGCGTTAACCGCAACCGCACTGGCACAACTCCAGCGCCCGGACGGCCGGAGCCGCACCTCTGGCGCGAACCCAGCACTCCTCGTACCCAGACACGGGTCAGCCCTCCACCCGGACAGAGCACGCGACCACCGCCGGAGGGGGGGGGGGGGGGGGCAGCGGCGTCCGCCGCTGCCAGAGAAGGCGGACAGTCGGCCAGTGTCCGCCCAAATCAGGGTTGACAGCGAAGCGCATCGGCAAGCGCGAGCGTTCTTCCCGGAAAACCTCTCCGACACGTGGCAGCAGGCGCCATCAGCCGCACCGCCTACGTCTATGTACAGACATAAACGCTGGGGCAGGTCACAGGGTCGCCGCCAGCAAACTTGTGCGCTTGCAGTGGGGTCAGGGAGCTGATCAGCCTGATCAGAGAGCAGCAGGCGCCGCGGATCTTCCGGGACCTGTCGTCAGGCTGCCGAAGGTCTGGATCAGTTCCGTCATGTCCTCTCGCCGACGGAGAGTACTCCGCAGATGTCCGCAGCGGCCATGGTTTTATTCGAAGCCCGTGCTCCCGTGACCGGCGCGACGGCAGACTCCGAGGCAGCACCACTCCCAGTAGGATCACCTGTAGGCCGCCCTGACCGCAAATCTGGGTGGAGCACGACAGTGGCGTCCGCAGTGACCTCGGTCGGCGACCGGCCGTCCGAAGCGGTCCGGGCCGCTGGCCGAGCTCGGGGACAGGCCGCCCAGCGAGCGCCGGCAGCGGCCGGACGGCGGCCGGGCTCTGCGGAAGCGGTCCGGGCCGCTGGCCGAGCTCGGGGACAGGCCGCGCAGCGAGCGCCGGCAGCGGCCGGACGGCGGCCGGGCTCGGCGGCAGCGGCCCGCGCCGCTGGCTGAGCTCGGGGGCAGGCCGCGCCGCGAGCGCTGGGCAGCGGCCGTACGGCGGCCGCGGGCTCTAGAGCTGGTTGATACAGCTGGGAATACGGCTGGACCAGCGGCCGCCGGCCATACACTCGAGCGTTCGCTCGCCGCGCAGCACCAGCCCGTTCTCGCAGGCGAATGCCACTAGCTCGCCGATGGCGTAGTAAAACTTGACCTTGGAGATGGTGCCGCCGATGGTGGAGCCCGGGTATGTGCACGCCTGCACACCTGCGGCGCACGAGGTGGACAGGGGTCAGCGCCAGGTCGAAACTACGAACCGATTGAAGGCAAGACAGTGGCGACGGCCGAGATCGGCTCGTTTCAGCACATGTGGGTCGTGTTTATAAGGTTTGAGTGCACCTGGAAGCCCGAGCTTGCACGGCACACAGTCATAAACTGCGTTGCAAATCGCTGCAGGCCAAAACAGTTATCATCGTCACGCAATTCATTGGCTTGTAGGGGTGCATCTGAGGATTTACCATTCGGCCAGATCACGATACTGCGCCATCGGGAACCCAGCCGCATTGTTGAACAATTCGGTAGGATTTATAGGATAGTTTCAACAACCATTGGCGTTTTGAGATTCGTGACGAATGTGATTAATGGTGCCCCGACCAACTCTTGTCTGTCCCAAAGGAGGTAAATGGAGGTCGTAAAACAGATGCAGTTGGGTTCAGCAGATGCCCGTTTCTAATGCTGTGTTTCGTACTATGAATATATTTGCGATGTCCAACATCGGATATATGAGGGTTGCCATCCAGGTATCGGGGTCCGGAATTCCCGGATCACATCCGATCCAGACACTGGTGTTCATATCTTTTTTACAAAGCTGAGATTCAGATGGTAAAAACAGCATTAGCATTCATTTATTTCTATTCGAATCAATTTCGCCTTCAAAGGTTATAACAATATTGTTTGTGAACAATCCCCTGAGATGGTCACTATTCGAGGCAACTTTGTAACAAGAAGGGCAAACTTTAAAATACGCTAATTTATTGCACTCTGTATTTAAGAGACCGGAACTGGAGACCTACTCGACTCGTTTCAGCTTCAGCTCCATCGCCTGTTGGAGCTGAAGCTGGAAGGAATCCTCAAGCTGAAGCTGAAGGCTTAAATGGCTTAAGCTTAAGCTCAGTCTTAAGTCATTTGATACAAAAACAGCCAACCAATGCGGTTCGAAAAGAGACTTATATAACGCGTGTCAAATCTAACGAAGGAAATTTGATGGCGGGCATAGTCGCAACTGCCCAGACAATTGTAGAAACTGAGCTCTGGCTGTTGTTTTCAAGCTCATATCACCAGTAATAACGTAGCAATGTGGTAAGGTGTCGAGAAGAAAACACACGTGGTGTGGCACTCGCTGACCAGTTGCAATGCCGATACTAGTAGCAAAATTTGGCACGCAGTGCATATTATGTTGTGTTTAAACGAGTGTTTAATATGGGCTATGGGCTTATTGTCCAAAACGGGAACATCTTAAGTTTGGTAACAAAAACAGTGTCATTTACGGAGCACTGACTAACGAATAGCAGGAATATAAAGATTGCCTGATTGTATACAGGACAATGGTAGACGGAATGCGTTCCTAGCAACACTTTCAAGCAAATACATTAAAGCAGTCCTCTCCTGTTGAAATGTTGCCTTCAGCATTACTGGATTGTTTCTCTAAAATCTGGAATTATTGGGATCATTTTTGATCGCGTCATGCCGTGTTTAGTAAAGACAACGACGATTCTGATGATTTAGCTTCAGTTTTTAACAATAGGCACAGCATCGGCTCAGGTATCAAGACTGTGAATGTTATCCACATAAGCCAGCCGCCGACACCGTGCGCACAGCGGACATCCACTTACAAGTGGGGATCTCACGGGACCACTTCCTGTTCTCGAGGCACTCGACGATCGGCTGCCCTTCCATCATGAAGCCGTGCTTGCAGGAGAACTGGATGACGTCACCGACCATGTGCCGCACGTCGGCGGGGCTCATCACGCCGTTCGCCGGCGGCTGTGGCGTCTCGCACAGCAGCTCTGCGGACACCGTGAGAACGCTGCACGACCTCCTATCCACGTGGCTGCCCAGCTCTGGGACAACGGGGAGCGCTTGCACGATTCTCGCTGATACGCTGTTGCCACTCTGCTATGGGTCCGACCACTCGCTGGTTGCCGTGTGACACCATGAGAGTGCTGCACGACCCCGCTGATACCACTCGCCGGCTGCCACTCTGTGGACACATGAAGTGCTGCACGCCACTGATACACTCGCTGGTGCCGCTCTGTGGACAAAGCGCCACTACCCACTGATACCAGCTGGTTCCAGCTCTGTGGACACCATGAGAGCGCTGCACGACCCACTGACACCACTCGCTGGTTGCCAGCTCTGTGGACACCATGAGAGCGCTGCACGACCTCACCGATACCACTCGCTGGTTGCCAGCTCTGTGGACATCGTGAGTGTGCTGCACGACCTCGCTGATACCACTCGCCGGCTTCCAGATCTGTGGACACCATGAGAGTGCTGCACGACCCCACTGATACCACTCGCTGGTTGCCAGCTCTGTGGACACCATGAGAGCGCTGCACGACCCACTGATACCACTCGCTGGTTGCCAGCTCTGTGGACACCATGAGAGCGCTGCACGACCCACTGACACCACTCGCTGGTTGCCAGCTCTGTGGACACCATGAGAGTGCTGCACGACCCACTGACACCACTCGCTGGTTGCCAGCTCTGTGGACACCATGAGAGCGCTGCACGACCCCTGACCCACTCGCTGGTTGCCAGCTCTGTGGACACCATGAGAGTGCTGCACGACCCACTGACACCACTCGCGTTGCTGACGACCACCGCTTCAGCTCTGTGGACACCATGAGAGTGCTGCACGACCCCGCTGCGACCCCTCGCCGGCTGCCAACTCTGTGGACACCATGAGAGTGCTGCACGACCCCGCTGCGACCCCTCGCCGGCTGCCAGCTCTGTGGACACCATGAGAGTGCTGCGCACGATGACCCACTCACTGACAACCGGGGCTGCACTCCGCCACTCGCTCCAGCTCTGTGGACACCATGAGAGCGCTGCACGACACCACTGATACCACTCGCTGGCTGCGCCCAGATTTCAGTCAATGAATGGCAGATACATTATACAATGACGGTTTTCACAGGTGAGAGGAATACTGTGAACGTTATGATAAGAAATCGTTATATCTAGGTCTGAAACAGTTGTACGATTACTTCCCTGGCGGCGAAATTTTGTCTAATAGCATATTTCTAGTAGGACGGCCATGTCAATAACAAGTCCGGTGGGACGATGCAGTGGACGTACACCTCGTGAACAGTGGAAATGCCTGAACACAGGCCAAACCAATCGCTTACACCAGCGAGAACGGCAGGTGACTGTCCGAGCCGACGTCGGCTGCGCGCTTACCTTCACAGACCGGCGGCTGCTGGGACCACTGGCCATTGACCTGACAGTAGGCCTCGTGGGCCCCGACCTTCTGGTAGCCTCGAGGGCACTCGAAGATGACCTTGCCCGTCACTTGGCGGTTGAGGATGGCAACCTTTACGTTAGGGTCCGGGATGTTTCTAAATTCCGGACATTCTGAAGACAGAGACAAGAGATCAGAGCAGCAGTCGGGTCGATTGGTGGGAGGCACCGCTTATGTGCAATGTCAAGGACCTTAACCGACAGTAACTGACATGTCATCCCATCATACAAGCCGAGGAAAACAAAGGTCACTCAAACCTTACAAAGTTTGTTTTTGGTGTCCAAAACTCTCACAAGTTGTCACACTTAAGTTTACTCCGTCCGTTGCATCAACTGTTAGTTTACTCTATCTATTACGTCAAAATTGACTACGACTCTTCCCAACTAGATTCGCCGTGCGACTGAGCCGAACGAATCCCTCGTCGCGTCGTTTTGTGTGGTGGGCGAAGGGAGCACGTGAGCAGCGTATTATACAGAGCAGGCGGACTCAGTCCGTCACGGTTCGCTGTTTTGTGTGGTGGGCGAATGGAGCACGTGAGCAGCGTACCATGCAGAGCAGCGGACTCAGTCCGTCACGGTTCGCTGCTCGGCTCGATACGTAGCTCTGACGTCACACTCGCTGTGCTGTCGCCCTGTCCAGCGGCATGCGTCCCTAGATTCGCCACCATTCGCTATCGCATTGAGCTCTTTGACTAGAGGCTAAAACCTAAACGGTTTTTGGCGCCGGGCTGGAAGCCATGATTACGGCGCTATAACGCCGCAGCATGTCATTTGTGTGCACCTTCACAGAATTACTTTCGATGAATAATCCCGCGTCTCATGTGTGTGCCTCTAATTCAACGTCATTTTCCCCGGAAAGATTCTAGTTTTCTATTTTATAGATTCTAGATTCTGTCACATATTTTTAGTTTAAAACAGGGTGTCAAAAAGAAAAGTATACAAAAAGGCCTATGTGTTTTCGATGCTCCTGCTTCCGACATCATCACTAAAACCAGACCACCCCATTAAGTGAGGAGACATCACCAGACGCCAGCTGAATATCACCCTGGCCGCAAAGTTAGGCGCGAAAACAAATCTACAACAGTCGATAAAGGCTTCAAACTGTCGGTCAACAGCTGTCCACAATCGACAAAACGTAAGCACCAAGTCTGCACCCGCGTGCTCCCGCAGCGCACTGGGAGCCCAGCCGGGGTGCTCCGCTCTGGCTTTTGTCGCTGCTCCCAGTCCAGCTCATTGCTGACGGCCCCCGAGAGCTACCTAACTAGATCACGGAAGTTCCGTCCCGTCACAAAGGCGGGCCTCTGTTTCCGAGGTGTCGTCAGATAGTTTCTCTGGATCTGGTGCATTAGAAAGACGTCCGGCACCTAACTTTGATAACGTCAATCGATCTCCAATGCATGTAAAAGTGCCAGTATTCGTTACGGTAGGGAAACTTCGCGAGTGAATAAACAAATTACATGACAATGGAGACACAGCAAGACACTTAGGTTAAGGGTCTTTTTGATGGTTCCTGCTCTCAATCACTGAATTAGTTTCACATGTGACCGCGAAGTGGGCTCAAGTAGAAGCAACGCTCTCTGCATGCACACATGACATATAACGTTTACAGAATGCAAAATAAAGTTGGTCTGGTGTTCTCAGTTTACGCGAACAAGAAACACCAATACAGCGTAGGCATTACCGGCGCTGGAAATACGACCAAAGCCAATGTAAAGGCGTATACAGAGGGAAAGATACCAACAATGTTCCATCGAATCCGCAAACGTCACGACCATAAGCCACCCATCCGCTCTATCCGTGGACGTAATTTTGCAGCGGCTGGACTCTGAACGAGCAGAGTCGCTCTTCACTGCTCCCGCGGGACCGGCGGCGTGCGGACAAGGCAGCGAACTCTGCAGCTCCGCTCCCTGTCCAGCCGCCAGCTCCGCGGGCAGCGCTGGCACACTCACTGATACAGGGTGGACTGCAGACACTACTGGGGGTGCGGCAAGGTACTCCATGCGTAATCGATTTCCGAGGTCTTTATTGTTTGATTGATTTAAAACCACTCGGCGTTATAGGTAGCGTTCAAAATTAATGTGGGATAGTGACTAATACTTAACAACTGCTTCATATCGCCTGTACTTGTTATGGTAGTTTATAAGGAATTACGCCGACATGCGTGGGAACATTGAAGTATCACGGCATGTCACCTCATCATCATCTGTTAGCTTAAAGTTGCTTGGCACGGATTGCCGTCTCTCACACATTCATTTGGCGTCAAAACATTTTTCCCAATATACGTGACAAAGTTATACATTGTTTAGAGCACCGCGGAGGAAAGGGTTGTCAGCCGTCTTGGCCACGTGCTCACCGGCGGCTGGTAGGTAGGAAATCAACTAACGACGCCAGGCTGACGAGCGTCCAATGCCATTGGGAAATGCGGTCCCACAAGGGTGCGATGCCAGGCTGCGCATGAAAGGCATGCAACGACAGTGCGCCTCAACATGGAACTAACACGTGTGCCAGTTTCGATCAGTGAACAAATCCCTCCCCCTCTGAAAAGGTCATGACATAGGTCCAACGGAATAAATGTGCAAACCGACTTGGGACCTGCTTTGAAGCAGTGTGGCACAGTTGCTTGCTTTCGAACCAGATCATGCGGGTCCCATTCTACGCCTTCTACTGTCTTCTACGCGGAATAACCAGTCGCCTGCCATGGGCGGCCAATCGGAGTCGGGCGGCCATGAATGGAAGCCTCATTTTTCGGCAGTGACGCGGCCTCCCTGAGCAAGGCTAAACGCGGCCCGCCGGCCATCGGCCGAGCCCCACTACGCGCCGTTCAGTCTCTAATCCGATTGCCGTCCATGGCGCGGCTGGCCTCCGACAGCCGCTCGGGTCGGGCAAGAGGCGGCCTCCGGGGGGCACCTACCTAGCCGCGCCGTCGTCTGGACGGGGCGCCATATCTCACCGATAGTCTCACAGTGGGGCATGGGCGCGCTCCAGTTGCCCGATGGCAGACAGTTCATCTGGTGCGCGCCGATCAGCGTGTTGCCGTTGGCGCACGTGAACGTCACCTGGGTGTTCATCCTGGTGTCGTGCGTGCTCTTGTAGAGCCCCGGCCGCTCAGGCACGACCGGGCAGTGCACGGCTGCGGCGGCCCGCGCGGCGCGTGAGACGGGACACCTGCTCCCATTGGCGTGCTCACGGTAAGAGACGACCCATTGCACGGGCGAGGAACACACTGGGGGTTTGTTAATCGAACAGGCGAGCGCTCTAAGCAAGAAATAATGAAAAAGGTAGCGCATCCGATGATGCAGCTTTCCGCAGAAATAACAAGACACTCACAGCTTGATCTGTTCCACCACATGAGCAAACACCATTGAATATTTACGAAAAACATTCGGTCTTATTTGGATGATGCCTGTCGGCCTACCATATTTATCAGCTGGCGGATTTCACGCTAAGCCCTCCAATGAAATGTCAATCCGAAACTCTTATCTTTTCCATTTTGGTAAACACCATGTGACGTGTCCATCTCATGCTGCAAAAGGAGTTCCTGACAATATCTTCCGAGCGACGGTTCCGGAGTTGTCCCACGCACGTTGAAGTTGGCGTGACACGGGTGTCGTCTTAATCGTAATGCGTGCAAACGGCAGACAGGTGTCGAATATTGGCTCGCAAAAGTGCGAGGAAACGATGTCTGGCATTATTGACCGCGATGCATGCTATGTTAAAAGATGACGACGAGCCCTTTGGTGGCCACGGCCATTTGTTTTTCATCAGGTTGAGGCACATAATTGGAAAGTTGGTCTTTAATCAGATGAATTGGTGGACAAAAGGTAACGTCCTGATTAAAGCATGATTTTGCTCAACCTAAATGTTAGTCGAGTCGGTGAACTCTCAACGTTCCTGACATGCCATTCAGCTATGTCACCTACCTGAGGCTAGAAGCGACGCCGTGTGGTCAAATGGAAAACAACTTACTGAGTGCATTGCGTTCAGTACTTTAGCATAAGACAAATAGTTGAACATGAAATAAAAAATAACGCATAAACTCGGCCGTATTTGACCCTGTAAGGTCAACGTTGCATCAAAGGGAAAAAGCTGATTCTATTACCAGATATCAAAGGGTAATGAACCTTTGCGGTTGCGGAAGTGCCGTATAGTCACAGGTATGCAGCGGTTTATTTCAAGGTTCAAACTTCTAGGAGTTACACATATAATCCCCATGTAACGAACAAAATGCTCGAATACCAGAGCACAGAACATCGCGACTTTGTTTACGCCGCCAAGAGGAAGTTGCTGAAGGTGAGAAAGATTTTGGCCACCACTTTTCTTATATTGTAGTCTTATACGTTTAAGTTGCATGTTCACGAAGTTAGCCTTTTATGTTCAATACTTCAATCTCGTCTAAAATGCCGCAATGGTGGTCAAATTATCTAGCGAATATTCCTGCAATTGTATTTCCATGAGACAGATGTAGACAAACTTCATCAATAAACTTCTTGTATCGTTTTCCTTTATTCAACGTACACCATCCAGCTCCAAATAAGCTCAATAATGCTTCTCATGATCCCCTGACTTGAGGACTGGCTTTTTGACAACTTCGGACGCACTGTTATGAAGGTCAGATGAACCGAGTTCGAGGGATTTGGAACGAAGTTTTAAATCTCCAAAACTGACCAAACATCAGGCTGCAGAAATTAACAATTTAGCATAAGCATTGTGTCTGCCGATAGCGGCATTAAAAACAAAGGAATACTTGAAACAGAATGGAGAAATTTGTGAAAAACCCCAATAGATTTATTGCACTGATTGCTTTCTACTACTTGTTCAGCAATGTACATCATTGCACGGATGCCGGGCCTTCTCAGGAATGCATGTACAGACCACAAACGGCACCTGCATCGCGTGACCTCTCCAAGACGACGTTGTGCACAGCTCCAGAGCCGTCGCTCTGGCCGGCATAATTAGGTAGGACTCTATAGTGGAAGAGGTCCTACGAAAACTTTCATTAAAAATCGGGAGGTAACGGTTTTATTTCAACATTTTGTGGAACAGTTTTTCCCCAATCGGTGAGGGTGTTGAGCCAACGTTCATACACCAAACCATATCATGCATTGTTCAAAATAAGTCGCGAAGTTTCTTTTCTCAGAGTGGAACGGAGTACGTTACAAGCGCCTTTGAATTTACCAAATGGACCGTCTCCAAGGTGTTCGTCATTCGGTGAAGTTGAAAACTCAATACAACTTGCGTAAGGCTGCGGGAAATCTGGCATCGCCTCCATCTGGGATAACCGTGATGCGTCACCGAAAGCGCTGCTCGTACTCCGGGCGGCGCGGCTTCCACGCCGTGCTGAGCCGCTAAACTCGGCTCCGATCTAGCGCGGGAGCGGGGCCGGGTCGAACCCGACTGACCTTTGACCACGATGTGGACGCCGTGCCGGTGTCGGGGCGGCGTGACGCACGTGTAGCTGCCCGAGTCCTCTGCCTGCGCGTGGTAGATGCTCAGGCGGTACTCGAGGTTCGAGTCGCGGCCCTCCTCCGTCGTCCAGCCGTGCGGGTACGTCCTGAGAACGCCGACGACGGCAGCGGCAGGTGGTGGGTCAGCGGTGACAGCGGACCGGGCAGCAGCACACCTCGGCTTCCGGCTCCGGAGGGGACAAACGCGATCATTTTCAACTTCTCCAGGATGTCACGCCGAATATTTTGGCGCCTTGCAACGTCAAACACTTCTGTACAGTGGCAAAAATGTTTTTTGTCGTAAAAATCGTTGCATAAAGTGTGACATGCAACATAAATTGACTCGATGTGCGATGGGTGCTTCTGATATTCATGTTCCCCTAGCTTTCCTGATTTGACAGAAGTGCGGTAGATACTTTGCACTACACTGATTATTAGATAGGATCAGAGATTGAGGAGATGTGGATACCCCGAAAATCTCTATGATTGGATGCAACATAACAGGCGGGAAGTTTGCACATGAGCCGGCTCAGGTTACAAGGAAGAGTACTTTTGCTGGTATTTGTGACTTGAATTAAGCACAGGTAATATGGATGTCGGACATAGGGGCAATTTAGTGCCTCAGCACGGCAATGAACACAGAATATATGCGCAAAAGCATCTGGCCAGTCGTCAATACAAAGCCTGTGATCGGTAGGCTGGCCGCTTAACCCGTAATTTACTGGTGAGGGTTGATTTGCACTCCTTTCTGACCATCCTTGACATATAGATGTTTCACCTAAAATAACGCGGCGTGCCGCGGAAGGGCAGCCCAATGTCCTGATTCAGGGGCCAATACCTCACATGAATGACGACACACCGACAAACGAGAACGAATACCGAGTTCCCCGATCCCGAGCGTGTCCTGATCCAGGTGGGCACTTACCTGAACTGGTGCAACACCTCCCAGGAGGGTGAGCCAAGCCTCCCGATCCCGAGCTTGTCCTGATCCAGGTGGGCGCTTACCTGAACTGGTGCGACACCTCCCACGAGGGCGAGCCGAACCTCCCGATCCCGAGCTTGTCCTGATCCAGGTGGGCGCTTACCTGAACTGGTGCAACACCTCCCAGGATGGTGAGCCAAACCTCCCGATCCCGAGCTTGTCCTGATCCAGGCGGGCGCTTACCTGAATTGGTGCGACACCTCCCAGGAGGGCGAGCCAAACCTCCCGATCCCGAGCTTGTCCTGATCCAGGTGGGCGCTTACCTGAACTGGTGCGACACCTCCCACGAGGGCGAGCCGAACTTCCTGATCCAGAGGCACTCGAGGTGCAGCACGGCGCCCGGGTACACGATCAGCTTGCCGTCATTGCTTTGGGCGATGGGGCCGTCCTTGTGACGGAACAGGATGGTCGGCGGCTTCTCCACTGGGGACACCGGCAACGCCGACCAATCACGGGGCGAAGCCGCAGTCACGGGACCAGCGCGTGGTACGGCAGCGCAGTTCATCCAGGCTAGTTAGAGGCCACGTATGTCAGCAACGAAGATAAATAAATGTCTCGGTCAGCGCGCAGCTCCTTGATTATAAGCGTAATGTGCGGAAAGAGCGATGTGGAATCGATTGTGGACGTGTTGTGTGCGGAAGGGGCGATGTCGAATCGATTTGTGAGCGTGTTGTGTGCCGAAGGGGCGGGCGATGGGCGTTCTGCCGTTCGAAGTCCTGTTATTACAAGTCACCAATGCCGTAAGCTATCCTGGAAGCCACAGAGAAGGCGCCCACTCGGTTGAAGTACGGGTGAGGTGGCGGAAATCTTCTCCATATCCGTTGCTTTGACGTTGATACGTGACCAGCCAGACAATTTATTCCATTAGGGCGCCCGAGTCGCTTACTGGATCACGTACCGAATCGGACAATCGAGCATCACAAATCACTGACCCAAAAGGCCGATCAAATTGGAAAAGGCCATCCTCCATGTGAAGCCAAACTCGCCAAGCGCATGAGGAACTGTGTTAGATTGCTCCGCATCCAGAAACAATAATGAAATTCGGGAAGATAGTCAAAAGATAGCATTGATTGATTATTGATAGCATTTGCAAAGAAAACAAAAGATAGCATAACATGAACGGCAGAAAACACGGCGGAGATATACAAGAGTAGAACTATACCTGAGAGAATCGAGCGCATAGCTCAAATTCCAACAATCCGCAACGCTCTCTCAACGAGCACTTACGTACAAAACGTTCAAGTGTATTAGGAAGATACAATTTACGCCAGTTTAAAATTCCTAACATATAATAATATATATTAGGAATTTAAGTGCATTTACCATACATCATATCTAAATTATGTTGGTGCAAAAAAGCAATGCAGAAAATGTTGCTGATATCCCAAACTCTCCCATTCCGCGCCGGTCTGAGCAGCGACCACTCACGCGCGTAGTCGTTCATCTGGTTGAGACCGAAGCAGGTGGGTCGAGCCCCGTCCCAGTCGCCACGCACGCAGCTCCGGTGGTTGCTGCCGATCATCGCGAACTTGCCGATGTCATCACAGCGGAATGTCTGCCACGGATACGTGAGCAGAGTTAGGGGGTGGGGCGGCACTTTAGGCTAGCGTATATCGACCAGTGATGCGCGTTGCACGGCGTGGACGAGCTTGGTGGGAATTAGACGGGATAATTATCGGTTTACATCACATGGGCGGTACTAAACCTGAGCTAATCGAGCCAGACCCATTTGCATGCCCATACAAAAAATAATAAAAGTGGTTCCTCTTGATGCGTTGAAAAGTTCATTTCTCATGAAAGATTGGCGGGCAAAAGGCCTGGCCGGCTGGTGAAGCGTGTGCGCTCTGAGACACAAAGCGCTTCGCTTGTATTTTAAATGTTGGTTCCAATCTGATTTTGTGAGGCCTGATCATTACAGTCGGCAAAATCGACGACAATGCACTAACTTGTGGTTGTGTTGTGACTAACCGAAACATTGTCATTGCCAATATTGGACAGGATATTGGGAACCATGGACTGGACTGCAGCCTGTGTAGTCTTTCTGAATCTATATCGGGTTGGGCTTGAGCGTGTTTCAACGTGCTGCCAATGCAAGACAGGCTTCAAGACGCAGCACTGGCCGCTTCCCAGCGCTTGCTGGCATGGTCAGAAACTGTAGACGTCGTTTTGTCTTTTGTGGGCGGTGCATTCATCTCCGGCGCGCAGCCGAAATTACGTTTTTGTCTGCTCTAGTTACCGTGGCCTGTCATGACTCCCCAGACAACAATGGGCGGATCCATGGTTTGTGACGGCCCTTCAGTGCCCAGCTGCCAAGATCAGACCGCACTTTTGCTGGTATGATGGTCCGACCTCTCCTCCGTCGAATGCCTTTGGTCGTGACGTGACGCGATGCAGTCAGCCGGATTTGGACAGGGGTTTGGCCCGCCTGATGCATCTCTTTCTCAATTGTCAAACTGAAAATTTTAGATTTCTCAGCTAGTTGAGTGGAAGGCAAAATTTGGTTCATATTGCAGTGCTGTAGAGAACCACCAATTAACAAGTAGCTTTCATAAAAATGGTTTGAAATCTATAATATATGCATGCTAAAGGACTGTGCCTTTTATTCCAGAAAACGCATGAATCACAAATGAGTGCCTACAAACACATCAGGTTCCAGACAGCGTGCCGACCGGGCCGCTCAGACTGAGCGCTTCCTCCATGGTCAGGTACAACTCGTTCGGCATGCCCTGATCGCCACCATCTGTTCATTCATGCATCAGGTGCGGTCTTCTTAGTGGGATGATGCTGCAAGATCATTGCGTACTGGGATAACATCTGGTAGATATCTATATACGTGATGCAGTATGTAGATATGTACAGATATGTCGATATGTGACGTCGACCAATGGCTAGTTTCATGAAAAAGTGAGAGTCCATAAAATTTGTATTTGAGTCGTAAAGAGTCAAAGACCAAAACAGCCTAATTCGACCGACGCGTGCTATTCGTCAAATACTGAAGACCGAGGGATAAATTGAAATCGACTTGTCCCGGTTCATGAATGCGTGAGCTCACGTTTTTGCTTTATGGTACTAGGCTGAGAAAACATTGTGCCGCATTACGGGCCATGAAGGGTTATGCACAAAATATATCCTGGGAAACGAACAGGTCATTCAAACTGGGCCGCCTGGACTGCCAAAAACTTAACCGATCACTTCATGGTTTCACTTACAGACTTCTATTAGTGATACGTTTAGAATGCTTTCCTTAAAAGTGATTTTCAGCACCTCACCATGCAGCATATATATATATATATATATATATATATATATATATATATATATATATATATATGCTGGATGGTAATCTGCATATAATCAGTTCCATTGATCCCGCTCCCTGGTTGGTCTTGTCCACTACTCCCTCCCACTACGATGCCGCATGCGTTTTTCATTGGTCAAGAATTACATCACTTCGCATCACGTGGTCGGGATCCTTTCCGTTTGAAGGTTGTATGCGATCTTTGGACACATACAACCTACAAGGCCACAATTTGAAAACTATGACGATATGAGGATGCGAAGATGAAAATAATCGCATTGCAAAAGTCGCGTTTCAATTCAATGTTCGTTCAAGGGTTGCTCCCATGAATGCAGACACTCGAATATTAGGTGAGGTTAGGTTAGGTTAGGTTAGGTTAATGCAGACACTCGAATATTAGGTGAGGTTAGGTTAGGTTAGGTTAGGTTAATGCAGACACTCAAATGATTACCAGTTTGGTTCCGGGCGGAAATTCTACTTTCTTCTCTAACACCGGCTGGTCTTGGAAGAACGTCATGACGTTAATCATGTCGTTGTAGAATGTACATGATTTGTTCTTCATATACATGGGGTCTTGCAAGTCGTTTTCATCTGGGGAAAACGCAAACACCGTTAATACTGGTAGACGCTATAAATTGATAGCAAGTCGATGGCGCAAGTCTTCAAGGCAACTTGAAGAACAGTAGCCCTTCATGGTTACCAATTTCTGTGATGGTGGGAGCGACCAGTCCAGATTATGTCACATAACGTCACAGTGATGTCACTGCTAGCATGAGTCAGCTGACGAATTAGCTGGATGGTTCACTGACCGCAGCTGAGCGAGCGGCCAATCCAGCTGCCGTCTTCACACAGGATCTTCCAGGAGGTCCTGTCCCCTCCCACGCCTGTCACGCAGTTAAAGGTGATCTCCGTGCTGTCTGGGTACCTGAAAGATAGCGGATGGTAAGGCCCTGTTTACCCTGCTGCGTATCAGCTCATTTCGTGTTCTGCGCCAGACGCTCCAGTCGTCAGGCGTTGCACACCGACCGACTGCGAGTGACGTCACACCTCAGGAAGTAACGTCACCCACACTGTCCGCAACAGCCGACCACAAGACGGTGGACCGACTTCTGGCTGGGTCTGTTCATGAGCGCGGTAGCTGCCCGGTTTTAATTGAATCCCTGTCGCGGTAAGGGCAACTGCTCACTATACCCCGCTCCCAACCGCAGCCGTTAGCCGCAGGCAAGGTCATATCACGGCAAGGAAACGTCAGCCGACTGGCTTAAAACCCACAAAAATGCGGTTGAAAAATGAGCTACCAATTTGACGCAAACATGCTGTTGTTGTGCTTGTGCTCGTCAGGAATTTCACTTGCGGATATAGAATACGAGTGGCCATAGTTTTAAGCCTGCTCCAGCGCTGCGCCCGCCCACGACAAAAGAAGACGGCGGGCCGGCTGAGCCTACGCGTTTGATGTACGGATCTGCCCTAGAGTCACCACACCTCGCACTAGGCTCCGCCAGACGTGGACGATGTCCGCATGGGCACAACACACCGGATCGGGACCTGTGTTGGTAAACACTGACCACCGGACGTCAGTCCTAGCGGTGAATGACAGCGACATACTGCTCACCCAGCTGATGGCCGCACCACTGGCAGTTATTGGTTTTAAAAGTCTGACAAATGTTTTAGAAGAGCATTTTGCTCAGAGCAAACGGTCAGTGTTCATTAAAAATGTAAATTTTTCCATCACACCGAATCTCAAACACCAGAAATATTTCGGCTGTTCGGCTGTGACACTGGACTAAGCCGCTACCGTAATAAAAGCACCACTCGATGGCCCTCGGCTCCCATTTGACCCCTATTACGTACAGAACTTTGCAGAATTGAATGCTATTGGAGCGTAACTGGAAAACTGCCGGCGAAAAGAAGCATGTCGTCTGGACTGGGAGGGCGTGTCACAGAGCTCTATGCATTTAGCTTAACGTCAAACTGTCACGACGCCCAATCCTTTTGAGCATTCGCCGGGAATCCTGTAGTCACGCTCGCAATTGCGTCCGTGCAGCCATATGGACTTGTTCCGAGTGACGTATAGCCAGAGTAGTAAACTAGCCCACTGGTGCAGATTGACGTAAAATCAATGTATGGAGTTATGCGTTGCGTGAGGTGTATAGCGCCTTAGAGCTGGCCCTTTCCTTTACCTCGTTGATGCCCCTACACTGGCCGATTCGGTATCATACCCCGGCGGGGTTTTCGCCGCCCGACTGACCGCTTCTCAGTGCTGTTGGCGAGCCGACCGTCGCGGAAGATGACGCTGTTCTGGACGCGAGCCGGCGGGCCGCACGGCCGCCGCTGCCCGGTAAAGCCGCTGGAGGTGATGTCGCCGCCGACCGTGTAGCCGGCCCGCTGCGCCAGCGCACCGTCCGGCAGCACCTCCGTCAGCTGCAGCGGCTGGCCTGCGTAGTCTGCCGGCCACACACGAGCGCCGCTGGGACTGATGGACACTCAGACCGGCTGACAGCACATATACACATACGGACCAGCCGACAGCACGAAAAAACGGACCAGCCGATTGCACGGACTCACGGACCTGTCGACAGCACGGACACACAGACCAGCCGACAGCATGGACACACGGA